GTATCTTTCTAGAATACGCTTTCTAGCGTCAATATTACATTATATAGCAGCTCAAATCCTCGATATTTAGGTTCATAAAAGAAAACAATTAAAACAAAGATACTTTTTGTTAAATGTCAATTACAGTAAAAATAACTATAAGAGCGTTTTAAATTAAAATACTACTACTTTTAATCATGATTTTAACATGAATTTATATCTTGCGACATTTAACGGTAGTGTTGCGACATTTAACGGTAGCGGAAATTCGTGCGACATTTAACGTTAACATTGCGACATTTAACGGCAAATGATTTTGCGACATTTAGCGGCAGTTGCGACATTTAGCGGTATTGGTGTGACATTTAGCGGTAAGTGGGACATTTAGCGGCGTTGCGACATATAACGGCGCCACATACACATCAATTTTTACAATAATATACAAAATGGTTGGACTAGAAAGTTTTGCAACATGATCGTGGGCCCTCCCCTTTAAATGTCTAACATCAGTTTCATAACTATAGATTTATATTTAGTAAATACTCTTTTATAATTATATATAATTTATATAAGAAAAAAAAGTAGCTGTACTATCTAACTGTTGTGTGTCACACAACACTACCACTAACTAATCCATCATAGGAATTGTGAAACAGATACCCATTTGTTAGTATTGCAAAAAAAACAAAAACGTTATAATAAATAAAAAGTAGAGAAGGAAAAAATGACGTATTATTTAAACTTCTTTGTTTCTTTAATTTAATTTGAACATGTTGGATGGAACAAGCACTTATTTTGAAAGTTCTGGATGCCAAAGAGTAGCTTTTTAGTACTAATCGAATAGAATTCTCCGGTCTTTGAAAATAGTTTTTTCTTTGTGAAGTGTATCTCTGGCATTGAAATATGAAAAAAAATTTCGGCATCTTATGTTAAAAAAATCACATTTGCATGCTGAATTATGAGTAGATGAATACGATGATTTGTAAAAAGATAATGTTAGATCCAGAACATTATTGTACCATTGTACATGTTTTAAAGGCCCATTATGCTCTAGAAATGCTTTTATTTCTTTTACTCAAAATCTTTTTTTTTATTTTCTTTTTTTAATTCCCCTTACTTTTTTTAATATGTAAAAATTTGGCCCCATTTTTTCAGGTACAACCCTTTTGCTTCTGTCCTTTTTAGCTTATAACAAATAGTGTTTTAATTTTGTTATAAGAAAATACTATTTTTGTTACTTTTTTCCCTATTTTTTAGACTTTTTTTCAGTTTCAGCGCACTTTTTTCAGGTGTAAACATCAAACAATATCTAAAACTATCGTTCAAATGTTACAAAACTCATGTTTGCCCTTTCTTAAGAAGGAACAATATTCATTCCTGAGGCATACTGTGTCTTTAAGGATATTTAAGGATACTGCAGGTGTATGTATCAAATTATACCCATCGCGTAATGTTTTGTCAACTTAAATTGTCTATCTTTGACAAAAAGTTTGAAATGTGTTGCAATCACATCATATCAGTGCATTTGAGTCATACCTGCAAGGGCGAGTTGTTCAAGATCAAAGGAAAGGTCACAATCTATGACATGTTATCATAATGTACATATCACATGAATGAAATTAGTGCACTACATTCGTTCACATGATTCGAAAATTATGAAAAATATCATATTTTGTACCGATTAAAATCTTTTTGATCATATACAAATATAGGACTGTTTGTTAATAAAGACCTGTTAAAATATAAATTCAAAACTCTGACAGTATTGGATTTAGTAATTTATGGTTACTATAGTTATTTTTAATGACAGGAAAAGTTGTCCGTTAAGACTGAGAAATACATTTTTCAACGATAATAAGCACGTGCATAAAAGCCGAGCAAAATAATCGATCATAGTAAAATCATACTTGCTTACCACAATCATTAAAGATTCACTTTATTGCAATACCATGAATGCATGTATTTTACATTATCAAATAATAGACTGAAATAAGTTACTGGATTGTGTTTCATGGACAGTCCTATGTCTAAAATATGACCAAATCTAAGACAGCTTTCGTTTCAAAGAAAACGTCCTGACTTTAAGTTAAGACTCTTCAATTTCTGAATAGTGATAAACATTGCAGTTTGAAAGCACGTGACAAAGTTTTTTATAAAACTTTTCTCAGAAGAATGAGTTAAATAAAAGTCTAAAACTTTCACCAAAGATGAAAATATTTGTTTAAAACGGTCTAAAATTAGTCCTATAGTTTGTCATAAGTACTAGGATTAAGGATAGACTTCCTATGAAACGCAGCCCTGATTATGAATCATGTCAACATACATACGTATGTTATTTGCCTGATAATAGTGATAGTGCAAAATGCATCGTTTTACCAAATTCAGCTGTTGCGATGGTTTAACAGAAACGTGAAAGAAATTGCACATCGGTTAAAGGTCATTGAAATTTTAATTCTGCTGAATTTCCTTGTTAACTACTTGCATCAATGTGTTCAACTGTTAATTGTTGAGTATTACTTGTGCACGGTCTACCTGGACAATATCCCACTATGACAATATCCCTCCAGGACAATATCCTACTAAGTGAATAATATCCCACTATGACAATATCCCACCAGGACGATATCCCACTAGGACAATATCCCACCTGGACAATATCCCACTAGGACAATATCCCACTAGGACAATATCCTACCTAGACAATATCCCACCAGGACAATATCCCACTAGGACAATATCTCACTATGACAATGTCCCACTAGGACAATATCCCACCTAGACAATATCCAACTATGACAATATCCCACCACGACAATATCCCACTAGGACAATATCCACCTGGACAATATCCTACTAAGTGAATAATATCCCACTATGACAATATCCCACCAGGACGATATCCCACTAGGACAATATCTCACTATGACAATGTCCCACTAGGACAATATCCCACTAGGACAATATCCTACCCTAGACAATATCCCACCAGGACAATATCCCACTAGGACAATATCTCACTATGACAATATCCCACTAGGACAATATCCCACTAGGACAATATCCAACTATGACAATATCCCTCCAGGACAATATCCCACCTGGACAATATCCCACTAGGACAATATCCCACTAGGACAATATCCTACCTAGACAATATCCCACCAGGACAATATCCCACTAGGACAATATCTCACTATGACAATGTCCCACTAGGACAATATCCCACCTAGACAATATCCAACTATGACAATATCCCACCACGACAATATCCCACTAGGACAATATCCCACCTGGACAATATCCTACTAAGTGAATAATATCCCACTATGACAATATCCCACCAGGACGATATCCCACTAGGACAATATCTCACTATGACAATGTCCCACTAGGACAATATCCCACTAGGACAATATCCTACCTAGACAATATCCCACCAGGACAATATCCCACTAGGACAATATCTCACTATGACAATATCCCACTAGGACAATATCCCACTAGGACAATATCCAACTATGACAATATCCCTCCAGGACAATATCCACTAGGACAATATCCCACCTGGACAATATCCGACTAGGACAATATCCCACTATGACAATATCCACCAGGACAATATCCCACTAGGACAATATCCCACCTGGACAATATCCCACTAGGACAATATCCCACTATGACAATATCCCACTAGGACAATATCCCACCTAGACAATATCCCACCAGGACAATATCCTACTAGGACAATATCTCACTATGACAATATCCCACCAGGACAATATCCCACCTGGACAATATTCTACAAGGACAATATCCCACCAGGACAATATCTCACTAGGACAATGTCCCACCAGGACAATATCCCATTAGGACAATATTTCACTCGGAATTATCCGACTAGGACAATATCCCAACCGGGCAAAATCCCAATAGGACAATAATTTCACTCGGACATAGCCCCCTTATATGCAAAATAACTGCAGTTATTATAAACAGTTTAGTATAATATCAATTAGATTAAAAACTGGTTCATGCTCCTAGCGGTACTGTAACTATGATAATGGTACTCGATAAAGACACAACAGTTTAAAGGAAAACAACCTATGTTTTCCTTATAACATTTTTAATCAAAATCTAAAATCCATCATGTAATTCCCAGTTTAGTTTTCAGCTTATGAGCAAAATCAATTATATTAATCATTTTGTATTCTTTGAAAATGCTTACATCTTACAGTTGACAAAGTCAATTAATTCAATTAAAATAACAAATCGCGATCGACGATCCCAAGCAATACTTATTCTTTTATATGACATGAGTGACGGTTTACACCACTTTGTGACCAGGAGGTCGAAACTGTTTCCAACACCGTGACTTCGTTGCGACAACGTGCACTGCACGGTTGCGATGTGACACCGATGCTGCCGCTGAGATTCTCATGGATACTCTTTTTTCTATATATAGAAATTACCAACCATTAGCCGTGCCAATGAATTAGCCAATTTTTTTATGCACTTCTCGAGTAGAAAAAAAATGACCCCTGAATCAGCGGAAAAGATTATTCTTCGACCCAGCCAGACCCATTGATTTAGATGGAGGCTTCACCAATGTCGGAATTGTTTTCATTTGTAACGTGTGACATTTACACCAAGAGGAATATGGCTTAAATGCTCTGAAATTGTTAATTGTATAGTGGTAACTTGACTTGCTTACTCTATAATCAAAAATTCTATGGGACGAACTAATGAAAGATTGGATAATACGTATGAGACACTAAGACCATGTAGTTGTTCGTTTTTTTATTATAGTAAATCCAGTCGTTTTAGCACTTTTCGCGTTAAAAGATAATCTATCCCTCAAAAGTAGGTTTGTTTGATTTTCTCTGAAATATGAAAATAGTATCATACATAATAGATTAAGACAAATCAATATAAATGATATTACAGAATTAATATTAATACTAATCGAATTAGAAATATCCAATGAAATTGACAATTGAACAAACCAAGTTTATGGCTGAGACATGATTGCGTCCCCACTCGTGAGAGTTAAATGTTTAAAATAGTACTCTTCTCCTTCAGTAATTAACAAGTGATAGAAATCAAAGACGTTGGATCATGCAGAGGTCTTACCACCGGGACAAAAACTTTCAGGCACTGATGCACTGACCAACTCATGCTAGGCGCTGAAATCATTTGTGTTAGACGTTCGTATATATTTCCCCCGTCCAACATAAAGATTATTTTGCCAATCACGGCAATGTTGTTTGTTTGAACCTAGAGTAGCTTGAATCCGGACTCGGCCTCTTGAAATCTTTTGAAATCTGTTTTATGAAGTCTGCTGGAGTTTTTTATTTTTTACAGTGTGTCTCATATAAACAGACGATATCCAACTTAAAAATTGTTCTACAAACCGTTAAAAATGACACCCATTGTTACTACCAAATCAAATTGTAAACCTCATATGGTAGAATAAAAATTTTAATTAACTCGAAAATCGTTGCACAAAGGATCAAATTTTGCCATCGTTTGTGGTGGTGATATTTGTAGCGTGTTTCTTACTCCAGCCGTCAATCGTATGCAGTACTAATTGGGTAGAATGGTTATTCTACTCATGAGCCATATCACAAACGATACAAGTGACCAGCGGCGCCCCCCCGATTTTTCGTGACACATCACAAATTGATTCTCCCATTTAACAGCGTCTAATGACACATAGGTTTTTAACCACGTGACCAATATTCAACGGGGGTCAAAATTTAATGTTACGTCGGTATGGCCGAACGGATAACGCGTCTGGCTATTAATTTAAGGATCGCTTGTCACGTGGGTTCAAATCCTGTCAGGGGATTAAACTTAAACACGTCGTTTTGGAAAAAGATGTGATGTACAAATCAGAATCATTTTGTTGTTTCTGCTAACGACAGTATATATTCTATCTAATACAGAATTACAATTAAAAATAACTTTGATTATGTTTTTGTTGTTAAAGTTGTTGTTTATTCAAAATAAAGATACCTAACTTTGAAGTAGAAGACAAATTATCTTAAGCTTAAACAGGTCGTTTTGAAAAAGATATGATGTATTTGGGTTATGAATCTTTACAGTGAATATTTTTTTTCCGTTCAATTAAATGTTAGACCAATATTGATATTGAACCAATATCGGTTGATTGAGTGTTTGACTACATGTACTAAGAATATGGTTTCTTCTAAGACAGGCGGTATTGATATAATATATTTTTAAATTTTCAGCATGACAGAGGTGCCTTCTATGGACCACGTGTAAAACGAGATAATTCTGGAGACTTAGCACGTTTACTGCGAAGCAAAATTATTGAACTGTCACGTGTAAAGAGAGGAAATGATCTCGAGCTTACACGTGTAAAGCGAGGCGATGTTCCACATTTGACACGTGTAAAGCGAGGAGATGTTCCAGAGCTGACACGTGTAAAGCGAGGAGATGTTCCAGAACTGACACGTGTAAAGCGTGGTGATGTTCAAGAGATGATACGCGAAAAGCAAGGAGATAATCCGGAGATGACACAACTAAAGCAGGGAGATGTCCAGGGGCTAGAACGTGTAAAGCGTGGAGATGTTCAAGAGCTGACACGTGTAAAGCGAGGAGATGTTCCAAAGCTGGTACGTGTAAAGCGTGAAGATATTCCAGGCCTGACACGTGTAAAGCGAGGAGATGTTCTAGAACTGCCACGTGTAAAGCGAGGAGATGTTCCAGAACTGACACGCGTAAAGAGAGGAGATGTTCTAGAGCTGACACGTGTAAAGCGAGAAGATGTTCCAGAACTGTCACGTGTAAAGCGAGGAGATGTTCCAGAACTGACACGTGTAAAGCGAGGCGATCCTCCAGAACTGGTACGTTTAAAGCGTGGAGATGTTCCAGTGCTGACACGTGTAAAGCGAGGCGATCATCCAGAAATGGTTAGTTTAAAGCGTGGAGATGTTCCAGAGCTGACACGTGTAAAGCGAGGCGATCATCCAGAAATGGTTAGTTTAAAGCGTGGAGATGTTCCAGAACTGTCACGTGTAAAGCGAGGCGATCATCCAGAAATGGTTAGTTTAAAGCGTGGAGATGTTCCAGAGCTGACACGTGTAAAGCGAGGCGATCATCCAGAAATGGTTAGTTTAAAGCGTGGAGATGTTCCAGAGCTGACACGTGTAAAGCGAGGCGATCATCCAGAAATGGTTAGTTTAAAGCGTGGAGATGTTCCAGAACTGTCACGTGTAAAGTGAGGCGATCATCCAGAAATGGTTAGTTTAAAGCGTGGAGATGTTCCAGAGCTGACACACATAAAGCAGGGAAATGTCCAGGGGCTAGAACGTGTAAAGCGAGGTGATTGATATGGATTTTCATTAAAAACAATTGTATGCTGCAGAATTGTCACTGATAAAACAAATATCTTGTTAATAACTCTGTCATCAGGCGTTGTATCCGAAACCTAACGTGGACATCTTGGTTCGTCGATTTTTGTACTGAATCAGTGATTATACACAACTTTTTTATATTTTGTTACTATCAATAACTTTGAACAAATAGTGAAAATATAACGCTTCAAAACTAAACATGCAGAAATAACATGCATGAAAGGAGTGTTTCGTGATATTAATTCTAAAATAAATAATGACACACGCACACGAACGCGCACGCGGACGCGCTTGCAAACACACGCACAGTGAAATTTTTAAATGATACAGCAACACTGTGCAATGTAATTCTTGTTAAGGGTAGATAACCAAATTATTTAAATTAAGAAAATGTATCTTTGAATTGTCTCCCTTTGAGTATATTTTATATTAAAATTGATTTTGACTAGAGATGTGATGTTGTCAATATTATTTTTCATATATTTGTTTGCTTTCTTGATTCTCTATCCAGTGTTAATACATAAAAAGATGAGATCTTTAAAAAAATCGATACTTTAAATGATGTAGCAAAAAACAGCGCAATATACGTAATATGCGTCATTCGGTCTTATGGTTTAACACGCTTTTAGAAAAAGTATGTCAAAATTTGCGGGTGAGAGAGCACAACGTAACGTTATTTTAAAGCATACAAGAAAAACCAATACTTTTGTAATACAATACAGCTGTATTCCTTTAACAGGATAAATTTGAATTTCAAAGCGTTTGCGAGACAAACACGTAGATGTGCATACCTGTAATTAAAGTCATCTTTCGTCCATTTACGGTTCATGCGTATTTTAAATCGGTATATAATTTTATGTAATGAAATTGAAGTGCGGACTTTGATGAAAACAAGCATGTGAATTTACAAGGACGTTCTAACTTTAAAGATTAACTTAAACTTTTGCCATGCCGGGATTAAAAGGCGGAGTAAGTGTACACTTTTTTATGTTATTGTAAAACTAATTTGTACAACAATCAAAACAAAAATAATCATAAACATTTAGTAATATTAAAAATCAATGAAGCGTATTGTATAAAGGTATATAAATTTCATGTCCATGTGATCAACAGTGTATAGCCTCAAGGCAGTGAAGGACACTTACTATTAAATAGTGTGTATTCATTAAGAGATTTACATTTTTCCGAGATTTACATTTTTCCCCAGTGAAATGATGAATAAAATCACTATTTACTCATATAAAGAAGTTAAAATCTGTCCTTAAACTTGAACAAAAATACCTTTTGTTCTTGCCTATCCAGAGATTGCATGTTTACTGTATTTACCATGATAATCTTTACTCGATCAAATTTGTATCTGTATGGACAGAGTTAGATTTATGCAACAAAAAACTAACAATCTTGTACAAAAAGACATACCTTAAACAAGGCATACGGACGTTTTGCGGTGTTACAAGGCCTTAAAATGATCTCAAAATTATATTTGGCAGAACTTCTATCTACCTTCTTTAAGAACATATTTATTGGTCCAAATCCTAGATATACCTTTTGCAAACAAGTGTATATTTGCTTCGGGAAAGAGGTACATCAAGGAAGATGATTTGCGAAAAATGTTTGTTTGATTGATACAACAATTTGTTTGTGCCCAAACCAAATCGGTTCCAGTAATGTTTATTTGATTGTACTTTGTAAAATGTTGAAAATACGTGATAAATCACTGTCATATGCTAGAAGGCGATGACTGATTTTGCTCATAATGCTGGTTCCCTCAGCTGTATCTTATTATGCTGGTTCCAGGCTCGGGAATATAGGGAGGACGAGGAGTCGGTAGATTCCCAGGGGTCTGTGTCCATGAGCAATGTCAGTGTCAACTATGGCGGACCTTATGATAACGACGCTTATGTACAGTCAGTGGCGGCTTCACGTGTGAGTCATCTTTATATCATATTCATCTTTATTTTTAAACTTTTTTAATACTAAATACCAAAGTGATAACTTTTTTCTTTTAAGACCCATTATGCCCCCAGAAAATGTTTTAAATCTTATTTTTCAAAAATCTACTCATTGGCCAATAACCTGAACCATCTTTTGCTTCTTTTGCTATTTTGGCAATTATTACAGTTATAGTGATTCAGTATTTTGATGGAAAATAAAATACTTACCTTGCTTACATTTTTCTACTTTTATGACAAATTATTTCACATTCAGTGTTACTTTCTTCACATGATAAGTATCCAACATGCTCTGAAACCATTATTTAAACATTGCAAAATACTAGTACATGCTTGTCCTATCTAAAGAGGCGGAAATGTATATGTATCTGAGGCATAATTAGCCTTTAAAGTAAAGATTTACCTGATCTGTGGGCAAGTGATTTAATACTTTATCCCTAAACTTAAATGCATTTTCTTGGACCATTTTTTTCCCAAAGTAATATTTGTACCCTTAAACAAGGGATATTAGCTATGGTAATGCATATCACTGCACACTGGAACTGAAACAAAAGTAAGAACTTACTTTTTACAAGTTATTTTTGTCCGTCTATTTATTAAACCCACGGGCACGAGTATCGGACCTGGGAAGAAAAAATATGACCAGATTGATAAAAAAACCTGTGTTCATCTTAAAAATGTCCAAAAAAAAATGTAAATAATGACCCCCTTTAAAAATATACTATAAGTTAAGAGAAGGCCGGAAACTCCAGATTCGAGCCTACTAGCAAGGGATTCATTTCCCGGGCCGTTGTGAAAACAATTGGCCAGATAATTAAATAAAACTTTTATCACTATTTCACGTTTATATTAAGCTTCAAAATGAGACCAACCCCAAGTCTCTAGCCCTTCCCGTTCATGAAATATCTATCAGGAAACGAGCGAATTCGTGCTAAAAATCCTTGGTAGACAGAATTGCGGCACAACGATTCGGTACGTAAACATAGACTAATACATGTTTGTCAGCTGAGTACGGGTCAAAATCACTTGAATTTACTAAATAATATTACTAAATACATTAAGTTGGACCACTCACAACCGTCAGTAACATCTGATACACGCAAAATTCGAATTTCAAACCTTTCCACGGTCTTTAGATTCCTTTCTACGCCATTGTCAATCAGCTGTTCGATATTTTGTAACGAGTCTTCTGATTGGACAATAGCAACGAAAACCGCAACGTTTCACACAAGGATGCCTAATGGCGTAGAAAGCGATTGAAAGACCGTGTAAATGTTTGAAACTCGAATCTCGTGTGTATCAGATGCTACTGACGGTTGTGAGTGGTCCAACTTTATGTATTTAGTAATATTATTTAGTAAATTCAAGTGATTTTGACCCGTACTCAACTGACATACATGTATTAGTCTATGTTTACATACCGAATTGTTGTGCCGCAATTCTGTCTACCAAGGATTTTTAGCACGAATTCGCTCGTTTCCTGATAGATATTTCATGTACGGGAAGGGCTAGAGACTTGGGATTGGTCTCATTTTGAAGCTTAATATAAACGTGAAATAGTGATAAAAGTTTTATTTAATTATCTGGCCAATTGTTTTCACAACGGCCCGGGAAATGAATCCCTTGCTCGTAGGCTCGAATCTGGAGTTTCCGGCCTTCTCTTAACTTATAGTATATTTTTAAAGGGGGTCATTATTTACATTTTTTTTTTTGACATTTTTAAGATGAACACAGATTTTTTTATCAATCTGGTCATATTTTTTCTTCCCAGGTCCGATACTCGTGCCTGTGATTAAACCATGTTTAGAATAGCTTTTCTTCATTATTTATGGCGGCAAGACATTATATTTCTTAAAATACATCTTCTATAAAACAAAGATACCCGGGATTCACAAATTAAATACTATGAGCATTTTGCAAACTAACTCGTTCTAATTCATACATTGTTTCTATCACCTTACAATTATTAAATACATATATAAATTTCTACCCTATCTGTTTTGCCAAAATTTATACGTCAACATAACAAAATAGATAATTGTCATTCTATAATATACAAACATATCAATTTTTTCAGGCAACACTAGCAACTACTCAGACTGACGACAGCCGGAAGCAGTTATATGGTGTAGATGAAAATGAGGAACGCGGTAACTGGGACGGTCGATTTGACTTCCTGTTATCGTTGCTAGGTTACGCTGTAGGTCTTGGTAACGTTTGGAGATTTCCATATCTTTGTTACAGGTGAGTTTTGTCTCACAGAATTACTAATATATGATTTTTCAAACATTTTAGAATATCTATTGAAAAAGTATTATTTGACAACAGCTGACAAAGTTATTGCGAATCTCTAATTGGAACAACTTTTAATTTTCATGTATTCTTGCCTCAAATAGATTAAAGGCATTAATGTCATACATTTATTTAACACTGACAAAATACATGAACAACTATCGTAAGGGATTAACATACTGCTGAAGATTTTTTTTCGTTTATTTTCACCCAAAACGTATAGAACATCGTTGTTCTCTAATGGTTGTGACATCATGTTTGAAAATCCACTGTAGTATTAATTTTCTTTACTGTCTTTTAAAGCTTTAAAGACTTAACTGAATTTCTTTTCCATATATTTTAGAAATGGAGGCGGGGCGTTTCTTATACCGTTTGCATAATGATTGTGTATGAGTGGGCGTAACATATTTCTAGGCTTCTATGGGTCGAGGTTCTATTGCAGTTTCACTCAGTCTTAGCTAACGGCACACCGATAGAGCTAAGTTGCTGGTTCTTGTTTTTCTCTGTTACACACATTTTAATAGAGTATCGTTAATGAGCAAACATTATGTTTTGGGGTATAACACATTAAGATATTATGTATTTAAGCAAAAGAAAGGTACAAAAAAGACTTACTATATCTTA